CCCAACTCGTTTTCGGATTACCCCCCTCCCCCCCCGTCCCGAAAATCGTGACCGTACGTCGAGCGGTTAAGATTTGTGCCCAACTGTTGACGGACGGACGGACGCACGGACGGACGCACGGACGATCATGCGATTCTACAAGCTGCATCTGACTATGTCAGATGAGCTAAAAAATGCTTCCGAGGGAAAACACTGACTACAGTGCTTAAGGCTACCTTTGTTGAGCTAATAAATTAGAAGATTAAGTAGGTATACAATTACTTAGAACCACACATAGGTAGGTAGGCAGTCAGGCAGGCAGGCTGGCGGGCGGGCGGGGGCGTTCAGGTAGGCAGACAGACAGACAGGCAGGCAGACGGACAGACAGACAGACAGGCAGACATGCAGGCAGGCAGGCAGGCAGGCAGGCAGGCAGGCAGGCAGGCAGGCAGGCAGGTAGTTAGGCAGGTAGGTGGGCTGACAAAAATTCTATAATTATTATAACCCAATATAATTCGATTTCATTGACACAGAGATGATTCACAAGCAGTGATTTTAATTGTCTATACGATGCTATTATTCTTGGTGATCCAACAATTAACAATTTCATATGAACTTACCAGAAATTCATCTCGTATAAAATATTTGGCCCTGATAAACTCTGCATCATCACCAGGATCTGACGAGGCTACAAAGAAATATAACCGTTCATCATATAAAGGATTACATATTTATACTTGTATATATAGGATTACAAAACAGAATGCATAAAAATTATAGATATTCTATAAAAGCAGTTTAAATCACAGCTATTCCCAGTATCACGATTATAGTATATAGAAGATTGCAATAGATATCTCGGTATTACATATTCTCACAATTAATGTAGCGCTTCCAGTATATTCTGAACAATTGATGTCAATAATACTGCTGAAATTTTACCTACAATACCGTTTCAGAATATTAATGTTTGATTGTCTTCAATACATAACCTTTTAATGTTGAGGATATTACTCAGAGAGAAAATCTGGTAATATTTTCACATCACCATGTTCTTACCTGGTGTACTGACTACATACTGTCACTACTACTTCACAAAACTGTTAAATCTAAGCATGCATACTTACCATCAGGTGGAGTTTTGTAGTTTGAAAAATCAGGAAAGTAATCCTCTAGTTTTGTTTTGCCTGACTTAATTTTTTCTGCTAGCAAGTCTTGCTTGTTGAGGAACAGAATCACTGAGATTGTTCGCAGCCATCTACAACACATAAAGTGAAACAGTGTATTACTGCTTGCTTTAACTAGTGAATCCTTTCCCAGGGCATGAAATTAGGCAAAATGTGAACAGGCCCACCTAAAATTTTAAACAGGCCCTTTGACAAATTGAACAGACCCTTACAAGTTTGAACAGGCCCTTAATTTTGTTCAATTTATTCCATTATTAATAAAAGTATTAGCTTTGTGTTTATTAGACATACTCGTTGTATTTCAGTATTTCATTGCTATCAGTGGAGTTCTATTTGTTTGACAGGAATCGCTGGAACATGATCTACTTCTTAGTAGTCACTAAGAAAAAACTAGTCAGGAAATTGGTAAATATTGTTGATATAAAGGCAAGATAGGCAAAGTTTTGAATAGGCCAAGTGGACTGATTATATGGGGAGTTGAACCCGCGGTCTAGCGGGTTGAACCCGCGGCAGCCGGCAAATTAGCACTAATTTCGCGCACTGCTTTCCTAAGACTGTTACGTTAAAATTGCTCACTGTCCCAGTCACCAAGTAGGAATGAGAGCAGTAGGTGCTAGCTTATACCCCAGTCACACCAGGGCCCCGATCTCACTACGCGCGTACTACGCTCTAAGAGCGTGGTGAAAACGTGTAGAACGCAGTGTGGACGTATATGGACGTACTGCGATCGTGATCGTGCGCGGTGCAGTCAGCATGAGCGTGGGGAGCGTGGCCAAACTTTGAACATGTTCAAGTAATACAGCGTGGCTGCGCAGCGTGGCGGAATACAGGCGCAGTGCGGGCGTATTAGAGACGTGGAAGGCGTGAGTACCCCACGTAACTCCAGCATACTCACGAACTTAGATGTCGACACTCGCCAAAGCGTGTCGGCTGCGTGAGAAGTGGTGCGGCCCCTGTCTAATCCGCACGACTGTCGAATACGTTTCATAACTTTTAATTTCTGATGGTGCTACCCACTGCTGCGGCCAAGGCCCCACACGAGTTCGAGTCGGCCACTATGGATAAGGCAACACTACTCCATGCCATGTTTCTTCCTAGAAAACTCGAAGGCTACTGCATGCCAAGGCAATCATGCTGGAAGGAGGACGAGGAGGAAAATAGAAGACACAAAGATCTTGCATGGGTGCGTCCGTGGCTTTCGGCGTAGAAAGACGACTTCTCTAGGTCACGTATGGAGTCGCCTCATGGCTGAGCTCCGCATGGAAGATCAAGCATCCTTCTTCAACTTCCTGAGGATGCCTCCGGAGATGTTCGATGAACTGCTTGTCAGAATTGGGCCGAGAATCCAGAAGCAGGACACCCGATACAGAAAAGCACTTGAACCAGGACTGAAACTGGCAATCACCATAAGGCATCTAGCATCGGGTGATAAATATCCCTCACTTCAGTATGACTTCAGAGTGGCCCGCAACACCATATCGCTGTTGGTTCCAGAGGTGTGCCAGGCTATTGTAGAAGAACACAAAGAGGAGGTCATTTCGTGTCCTACGATGCCAGAAGAATGGCATGCCATTGCCGAAGATTTCCGGAAAAAATGGAATGTGCCCCATGCCTGCGGTGCCATCGACGGAAAACATGTGGCCATCAGATGCCCACGGAACTCTGGCTCATTGTATCATACCTATAAGGGCTTCTTTTCCGTGGTGCTTATGGCTTTGGTGGATGCCGACTACAAGTTTGTGTGGATAGACGTGGGTGGATACGGGTCACAGTCAGACGCTCAAATCTACAACGAATCGGAATTGAAAGACTGTCTAGAAGATGGATCCATTGGCTTTCCTGATCCAGATCCACTGCCGAACGATGACAGGAACATGCCGTACTTTTTCCTGGGAGACGATGCTTTTGGACTGAGAACATACCTTATGAAGCCATACTCACACCGCGGCAAGACAAGGGAAGAGATGATCACCAACTACAGGATCTCCAGAGGGAGACGCGTGGTCGAAAATGCATTCGGCATACTGGCCCAGAGATGGCAGCTTCTACTCACAACCATGCAGCAAACTCCCAAGACAGTGAGCCTCATCATCGAGGCTTGCGTCTGCCTTCATAACCTCATGAGAATACGCTACCCAGGCCTTCAGAATGCACAGCTTGACAATGAAGACGAGCAACATTACATGGTGCCAGGACTCTGGAGAGAAACAGCAAATATGCACGATGTCAATCGAGTGACCGGCCCGAACCGTGACAGCGTGGCCGCAAAGAAGCAGAGAGAGTACCTGAAACTGTACTTTAATAGTCCGACAGGATCTGTGCCATGGCAGGACCGTATGATAATGTGAAGATGGATGGACTACGTTGAAGGATGGATTTTATGATACATGATGAAGACAGATTATTGACTGTAGAGGCTAAAATAATTGTCTAATAAAGAAATGTAAAATGTATCTTTTAAATAAATC